AGCTGCTGCAGCTGCCCATCTCAAAGGAACTAATCCCAGAGGTGATGGGCACTCCTAACTCTCTTTAGCAGCCCACTCAGGTCAGGTTCCAGTAACATCTTGGAGATTGTACCAGATTGAGAGCCAGTGTGGCATGATGGTTAGATCCCAGATCAGAGTCTAGTTCGAATCTGCATTTGCCTTTCTCACCGGTGTCCCAGCCTTCTGACTCCATCTTCAAAAAAGCTGTCTACATTTGGTTTTGTTTTCACACCTCAACAGTGCTAGCATACTTTTCCATGTCCACATATGTTTATCACCTTCTCGTGGCGGCTCCACTGTCATTGTGCCTCCCCACTGCTTTAAAAAAATCTTCTCCAAACAATGTTCAAAGAAGCATAGAGAAAGACGGTGTCACAGCAGCACGAAACTGGTTTTAAAATGCAGATGCAGATTCGACCTAGGATACTCGGGTTTCAATCACCACTCATGCTATGGAAGCTTGCTGGGTGATCTTGGGCCAGTCAAACACTCTCAGTTTAACCTACCTTACAATGTTCTTGTGATGAGGATAAAATGCAGGAGGGCAGAAATGATGTGATAATCTGCTTTGGGTCCCCATTGGGGAGAAAAGTGGGATATAAATTTAAAAATTAAAAAGCAGTAGAATACGCAGAAATTTCCCACCTTTAGAATTGTCAACAACCTAGAGGGAAAAGAATCCTGCCTGCCTTAACATGGGATTATGGGAACATTATTTACCAGGTTATGTTATTCACCTCCATGCCATGAAATGCTTCGTTGTCCATTTCCACATTTTTCGAAATGGGAGGCACTTCCCCCCCTCCATATTATTGGCAACCCTACCCACATTGTACCCTCAAGCACATTCTTTCAGCCCCCCCTCCCACCACCACATATGAGTTTCTCTTGGCAGGCTGCAAGCTGAGTCTCAAACACTCCCTCAGAAATTGGTGGTATTTGTACCCATGAATGAAGTGACTTCCTACTCTTTTTCAGACATTTGGCAGCAGGAGCTTCCAGAATTGAGAGAGAGAGAGAGAGAGAGAGAGAGAGAGAGAGAGAGGGGGGAGGGAGCGAAATGAGTAGTGAGGGAGAGAGAGAGAGAGAGAGAGAGAGAGAGAGAGAGAGAGGAGAGAGAGAGAACGAACACACATAATTTGTGGCAAGTGGAGTTCATAATCGGTTAATTTATTATCTTTTCTGCCATCCTGGAGGGCTATTAGCAGCGGTAATAAAGAGAGATGTAATTATAGGATCTGAGGCCACTCTAGATACAGCTGCTGTCACTCCACCAACCATATTTCATCTCGTGTTGAGCTTTTCGTCTTCCTAGCAAGAAGTGCAGCTAAACAGCCACTCTGGGAGAGCCCTTGTCAACACCCCTCAACAGAAGTTTTCCTGAGAGAAGCCCTGGGAAGGTGGAAGCAATGCACAGGTGATTAATGAAGGGGGTGGGTGAGAAGGGTGAAGGAAACAGAGTCTTATCCAGATGGAAAGGAGTGCAATCTAGCCAGGGAGGATATTAGGGAAATAATATTTGCTGAATACACTATTAAAACACTCTATTCCCAATTACAGGAGAGTGGCTTTAAGCTTTAATTTGCAGGCGCATGCAAGTGAGAGGAATCTTGCATTAGAACAAAGACCTTTCAAATTTATCTTTTACACATCTGAAGCTAATATCGAAATGTTGCAATTTTCATGCATATACCCTACTCCATTCGATATCTAGAACACAAATATATTTGAGACCACAAATAATTTCTGAGTAAGCAAACTCAGTGATTACACAGGTATCACCTTCCAGTAGTTTGCTTTCATGTGGTAATCGGGGAAAGTTTAAAGTTGCCCTTAGTTGCAGGTTTCCAAATAAATGGGTAATCTGAATTGCTGCATAAGTCAACCAGACCTACACCATTTTCTCCAGATGCCATTAGCAGAATGAACTGGGTAACAGGGAGCGGTGGCGCAGGCATTACAACGCCTGCTATTAACATCTGGACGAACAGCCGGAAGGCTGTTCGATTCCCCACCGCGGCCGGGTTGAGCCCCCGGCCCTCGTCCCAGCTCCCGCCAACCCAGCGGCTCTGTTAACATCAGAGGAATGGGTACCTGCCTTAGATGGCAGGGGGCACCCCCCCCTTCCCAGCCTTGCACTGGTGATCGGCGGTGAAGAAAAGCGAAGGAGAGGATCGAGTCGGCGGCAGCAAGCGAGGAAGAAATGGTGGCGGCAGAGAAATGGCGAAAGGCGACCAGAACGGTGGTGACTGGCTCGAGCAAGTGGTGAAAGGCGGAGCCAAGGATGGAGCGACGTCAGAACGCGGGGCGCAGCGCGGCAGGAGCCGCTTGGACGTTGCCGAGGCTGCGCCCGGGAGAGATACGCCGCTCATCCGAGGAGAGAATAACAACGGCCAGCTCGGCCAGCCGGGAGCAGCCGGGCCGCAGAACAACATCAACAGCACCAACTCACACCAAGAAAGCTGCCGAAGGAACATCGTGCCGTATTAGGGGTGCTGGTAGGTTGTGTCCCCCCCCCGCACCATATGTGGCCCTAGATAGGTTATTCGCTACTATAGTAGCACATTGTAAACCGCCCTGAGACCCGCTAGGGGTTAAGGGCGGTATATAAATCACCTGTAAATAAATAAAATAAAAACATTTCAATTATTTTCCTTGATTTCATGAAAATGGAAGTGATGGAAGGGGAATAATGATGGTATGTGAAGATATCTGAGTATGTGCATGTCAAAAAAGACAGGAGGAGGAGGAGGAGAACAGGCAGCACAATGCCACAAACCTACCAATTTGCCACTAGAAGCTCAGCTTATGGTACATTCCTAAGCAGACTTCTACCCTTCTAAGCTCACGATCTTCAATGGACTTAGGACATAACTATGTTTATGATTACACCATCAGATGACTTCTTTTTTTACAAGCCATTGGCAGAGCTGGCCCATCCATTAGGTGCACCTAGGCTGCCTAGGATGTCAGAGGTGAAGGGGTGCCAAAACCAGCACTGTCATCATTCCGCCCACATGTGGTGTCAGGTCTGCTGCTGCAAGTGGCATCCCTGGGTGGTGACCCTGACCCCAGTGGGTGCCCTGTAGTGAACTTGCTCCTTTCCTCCCTTCCTCCCTCCCTCCTTTGGAGGCAGGGCCATGAGCCAGCCAGGGGACAATATCCTTTTCCAGGGCCATTTTGGACTCCCAACCCACCCCTGTAGGGAGGTGTGACACCATGAAAGGCCACAGTGAGGGTGGTGTGAGTGGCAGCAGCTTCCCTGAAGTGTGAGGGTGGAGCAGAGCAGGTAATGACTTCTCCGTGGCACAGGAGGCAGCAAAGTCATTCATCTAGGATGCCAAAAATCTGAGGGCTGGCCCTAACCATTAGAAGACACAGATTTCCATATTTGTCTTTCCATTCTAGGAGTTTAACAAGACTCTTTCTAATGCTGTCTCTTTCTGTAATTTATGTGGGCCGAACTACATGGAACATTTTTAACAAGTATGGTCAAGGTGCACATTCAGGGCTGCAGTGAGGTAAAACGTGCCCCCAGGGTCATTCCAGCTCAGGAAAACGGAGCCAGGATAGAGGCCTCTTCCTTAGCACTGCATTCCTGATCCACACTGGGTCTTGCAAAAACTGGGAAGAAAGTTACCCATGGCTGTCATGCGGCTGCAGGGAAAGGGACCCGATCCAACTCATTAAAAAACTTATTGTGAAACAGTAGCTATATTGTCACTGACAGGACTGAATTTGCTCATGCAAACCCAGTTCAATGGGATGCAGGAAAACTGCAAGGGTTCTATCACCCCAGTGCTGGAATGTTGATGTCTAAGAAATGTCAAACAGGAAACATGTAACAGACATCAATGTTCCAAAGAGTAATGTGGGTTGCCTATGAGAAGTTTTAGCACTAGATTTAGAAACAAACAAATTGCGGGTGTATCTGAAAATGCACATTATCTATCTAAACAATTAAATAATTAGAATACCATCATTTCTGAATGATGCCCAAATAGGGAGGGAGGGCGTGTGGAAGAAAATAATCTCATATGAAACAGTTTGAATGTATTAGATGGGGGGGTGAGAGCACAGAGTCTCCACACAACCAAAAATGAAAAAGAAAAGATAAGGTGGGAGGGTTGTGCCCTACAGATGAGCAACAAATGCATACAAAATGATAACGTTTCAAGGACATCATCAATATGGATATAACAGCATTTGCTAATTCTCCCCACAATCCAGACTGAGTTCCCGTAATTGGCAATATAGCACCATTTGCGCTGAATCAGGCCCTGGAGGGCTGTGCAGCTAATGAGTGAGGTAAGCCCTGATACAACTAGCCTCCTTTGAGAAGAGCACCACCAAGATAAAGATTGGCTGAGAATTAGTATCTGAAGGGTGACCACCTTGTTGAATCATCTGCTTGACTGAGTTTTTCAAATTAAAACTGAAGCTGCAACATAATCACAATCATCTAAGGATACATTCATTTACACAAACAAAATCAATAATGTTGCTGGAATTCAGACTGAAAGCAAGCAGTCCGTGGTATGCTAGCACAAGTCCCCTTGTAACCTACGTTTGTGATTGAAATCAGGTTCTCCTTGGGGGCATTTTGTACATTAAAAAAGGCGGAAGACAGATGTGTGAGCAACTTCTATTCCTGATGCTTCTTGTAAAAAGTCAACCCTTGCATTTTTCTTGGGAAGAGGTGCACAAATTCCCTTTACATACCTCACAATCAGCATTAGAAAGCTGTAGTAAAAGCACACTTGTCCATCTCCTTTGCTTCCCCGGGCTTGCAGAGAGACCCAGCATCCCTCCTGCAAATATTCTCCAATGCACTTTCATTTCAATATGAGATATGTTAATACAGGATTTTGGAGCCCTCAACAGTAATAGTTTCCCCACCAAAAACCCACAGAGCCCATGGTGGCAAATAAGTACAGCTGCCATCTTTTGCCAACCTTATGATTTGCCCCCCTTCTTACCTGGGATGTGCTTTGCCCAGCCAATGATCACAACCAGCTCTCTGTCTGCCAAGTCACAGAGTGTGGTCAGTGCTTTTATGTCACTCTCTGGCATAGTAGGATCTGGCATAGCATAAATCTTCTCTGGCTCCGCCACCAGCAAGTGGGAGACAATCTTCGTCACTGCAAATTCAAAAGCAGGAGTCAGTATGTATTTGCCATTAATTCATGTACTTTATATTTGTTTTAAAGTTACTTGGAACTTGTCATTTTGAAACAATGGCCCCTTTTTCCTTAGACTCTCTTTGTTCTTCTGCTTGCTTGCGGATCCTATCATGCATATTTGCATGTGTTAATTACTGATGGACCTAGGTATCCGGTGCCTAGATATAAGTTTCCTATCTTTAAATTCTACATATTATAATTAATAATTGTTCTACAGGCTAATTAATACTGGTAGAAAGATCACATCTGGATTCCTTCTGGAAGCAATGAATGGGAACTCTCCTGGTATTGGAGGGGAAATCAGAAGAAAGAATGGCTTAAGCTCACACCCATGAGGAAATGCAAATGAATGAAGACGGGTTTCATTTCCATTTTAAAGACTTTCCCAGCTATTTGCGTGAAATAACTATTGTAACATGTGAAATGGCCATGGGTGCAGCATTTGCTCAATGCCACAAGTACACACCTCAGTCTGCTTTCATCCCTCCCAGTCTATCCACACGGTGGACACCTCTCAGCGCAGGACAAGAATTGTTTGTGCACTCTGCATGGCTTGGTGTCCCTCTGAAAGGGGGTGATCCTTCTGGGAAAAGTGCTTACCTTTTCCAGGCATATCTCCTGCAACACTGGTTACCAAAAGCAAGAAGAAAAGGCCAGCTGGATCAGACCACTGGTCTATCTAGACTACCGTTCTGTGTCACACAGTGACTAACCAGCTTACCTTGAAGATCAACAAACAGGGCAAAGAGGCCAAGGCCTTCCCCTGATGTTGCCTCTGGAGGTGGAGGTTCCCTTTAGTCATCATAGCTAGCTGCCACTGATGGGCTGCTCTTCCATAAGAAGCAGCTTCTGGGTACACATCAGAATTAGGATTCACAAGCCCTAAATCAAGTTCTTTCAAACAACTAAGAGTCACTTCGCATATTTTAAGGCGTATGCATACTAAGTGTAAAGTATGAATGCAATGAACAGGTGTACCATATAAGTACAATATTCAGGGAGCCACAATTGACTGCAGCTCCTTCTTGAGTCTGAATATGATAGCAAGCCCAGCTTTGCCTCTGAATAATGTGTAGAATAACTTTCTAGTAGTAGTCTCTGTTTGTAACATATTAATCTTGTGCAAGCTATTTGGGTTATCACAAAGCATGTGGGGGGCTGGAGATCTAAACAGAACTGATTAAGGCAAACATCTTACAAGACCTGAACACCACTTGGTGAGACAAAACACCACTAGCTCTGTTTGGAAGCTGTTCTGTAATCGGTACATGGTGGGAAAGACCAGATGCAACTGTGATGAAATGACATTTCATTCATCCCCAGTAACTAGGTAAGAATTTTCCATTTTGTGAATGTTGAATTACACTGTGTGAAGACTCAGAGGTTAATCTCAAACTGCCAGTGCAAGTAAGCTTGAGTCGAAAGAGACTCCCTTCTCCCTTTCTTAACAGCCAGCAGAGGAAAAGGTAAGGAATTCAGTATGATACTTAATTAGTACAATCTGAGAGCAGGACACTTGCCCAGTCATGTAGTCAATGGAGAATCGTTGCCTTTTGTCACCCAGACACATTTTGAGAAGGAGGCATTTGAGTGGAAGCTATACTGTGAGTTAGTTTTCAGAGTCACTAGCAGGGCAGCCATTCTAAAAGAGGCAGACATACTTTAGCCATTCTGGAAGAGGATGAATTCTGAAATGAATGTCAAACTTGGAACCTGTAAGATATTTCTGCCTATCTCTTTAACACCATAGGACTAAGTTTCAGACCTAGGGATGTGTTTTCACATGATTTTCTTATGCACAGATGCTTATAATATTTTGCTCTGCAAACATATTTATTTGTGTATCCATTGTTTTCTTATCTTCTTTAAGATAATTTTTCCTGAAATTGATATTATTTGGTTTCTCTGTAAGCCATATTAAGCCCAGGTCAGTCCAAACTTAACAGGAGTGGGCGGGGGATAGGACTGTTAAGCGCTACTCCCCTACAAAGCCCCATCTGAGAAAGACTGGTCCCCCTCTGTAGCAATTTAGAGGGAGAGAGAGATGCAGAAGAAGGGCAAAGGTCTTTTAAGAGACAGGGCCTGGGCGCCATCCTTCCAGTTGGACTAAACCTCTGAGAACTGGTCTGTTGGCGGCAGTGGGTATCCTTAATGAAGTGGGGAGTGGAAGACCCTTGTTGTCGTCCAGGGGCTGGAGACCCAAGTTGGCTGAGTAACCTTCCCCATTCTCCCACAGTAAGGAAGACTGTCTTGCCACAGCACCCATAAACTATATATCTGAACTTTCCCCCTTCTCCTCCTTCCCCCTTCCCCGCTTTTCCTTTCTTTGGGAGAATGGTTTTTGAGGATAAAGAGCTTAATCTTAGGAGACAATGCTTAACCCACACCATATTAATTAAGGCAGTTGAGAGTGTTGTTACCCCCCCCCAAGGAGGAATACCAAGGGAAAGTACAGCCCCAGCATGCTACAGGAAACAGAGAGCTTGTCCCAAGCAGACAAGTATAGTGCTGACACCTACATGGCTTTTTGGCTGGAGGGGGAATTTGTAAGCTCAGGTAAGTGCTGCTCTCAGAGTCCAGTCGTCTTTTGTACTTCTGGCGACCCCCGCGGACCCGATCCAGGCGGACCCCTGTAAGCAAAAGGAAAAGGAAACCCTAAGGATTTTGAAAAAAATAAGTTTGTGGTTATAAGAGTTATGATAAAGGTAGATGGAGACATCAGTATGCCATGGGAAGAAAAATAAACAGGTAAGAACTCCAATTTCTGACAGCGCAGAAATTTCTGTCATCAGTTTGTCTACAAATATATTTATACACAAAAACAAATATATATATATATATATATGTATACGTATGGACCAGTTAAAGCACAGAAAAGAACAAAAGCAATCAGTCTGTTCATTACCATTCCTCCATGTCCTTGTGTTTTTACAACTATTGTTTAATGATTTCCTAATGAACATGAGAGCACCTGTACATAACAATCTAATACCCAGATGTACATTCAGGCAGGCCTTCAGTAGTGCTGAATAACAGACAAGCATCCTCTTTTATGCAACACTATTAGAATAACCTATGGTGCTGGAGAAGACTCTTGAGAGTCCCTTGGACTGCAAGAAGATCAAATCAATCAATCCTAAAAGAAATCAACCCTGACTGTTCCCTGGAAGGCCAGATAATGAAACTGAAGCTCAAATACTTTGGCCACCAAATGAGAAGGGAGCACTCCCTGGAGAAGACCTTGATGCTGGGAAAGATTGAAGGTCGAAGAAGACGGGAACGGCAAAGGATGAGATGGTTAGACAGTGTCATAGATGCAACGAACATGAAATTGAGCAAACGTCAGAGGACGGCGGAAGACAGGAAGGCCTGGTGTGATCTGGTCCATGGGGTCACGAAGAGTCGGACTCGACTGTGCGACTGAACAACAATTAGAATAACCATGATTCCCCATGACTAGAAGGTTGACTATAAAGTATCCACTCTCTCTCTCTCTTTTTTTTACTGAAGGCTTCAACCTTTACTGCCCCCCTGGAATCCCCCCCTTTAACAGGAAACTCTTAAGTAGATGTTATTCAAGCCCACAGAAACATGCCAAAGCCTCTGAAATCCCCCAAACATTTAGTCAGTCAGTTTATTTAAAAAAATAGTTACATGGTCTGAAACTTTTGTCTGTTTATACTTTAAGAAGACTGCCCAAAGCAAACAGACTACAACAAGTAGAATAAAGGTACTTCAGCTCCTTTCAATGAATTAAATACAAATCAAAACAATGCATTTGCTGTAAAAAGACAGACATAAAACTGAACAGGGATTGTAGTTGTAGTCCCAAAGCCCCATGGTCACAAATCCTACAGAGGCATGCTTAATTTCAGTAAAATCAGTGGGCTTAAGCATGCATAGGTGAGAACTGGATCATGGCCCATGTGTTAAATGGAATATTTTGCATGATACTCCAGCTTCCAGGGGAAGGGGGGTATTTGTCCCATGGGAAATGGATACACACGTATACACATGCAGTACGCATGCAGTCCCCCCAGTGGGGAAAACAACACCCCGTAGTCGTATCGGGTTAAAAAAACAGCACTGGAGGAATGCTGACGTGTCTTCTCCCCTTAAAATGTGGTCATGACCCTAATTGGAGCCCCAGGCACTTGAAAACTAAATTCTCCCATTCCTGACATCTGACTGTTGGCATCAAAGTCAGATAATGGGTACCCCAATCCTACATATTACAATTTGTAACATGTCATCTGGGTCTAAAAGGGTCTATGAATATAAATTATTCTGCTAGCATAATGTTATTGTAATGCTTCATTTAGGTCAGGTTTTGTGCTGCTGTTCTAAAGTAACCATTGGTACGATAACCATAAGTATGTACAATGTTCAGCATATGTTCTAATCATAATAATTTTGGGCAGGGGTCTTGTTGTAGAAAAAGAGCTGCCGGAGCTCATTAGCATAACTCATTAGCATAACTTATTTGCATATGCCACACCCCCTGACATCACCGGAAGTGACAGAAGGCCACACCCCCTGACATCACCGGGAGTGTGTCAGAAGGCCCGGCTACTTACCCTCCTGCTTCATCCTCATTCCCAAACGGAATGAGGATCGAAGCAGGGGGCGGGGTAAAGAAGGGGGCGGGGCTTCACCACGTGACCGCCCCGCCCCCTAGAGGTTCTCTTCCGGAGCTCCGTACCTGAGAGCTCCCCCCCGACTAGAGCCCTGATTTTGGGGGTCATCAGTCATAAGCCCATGCAGATAACCATTTTACCTCATATCTCACCTGATCTATAGTAAAATCCTCCTCCAAATTTTGCAGGGCAATCCAACTTGCCCAGGATAAGATGGCTCATGTCAAGGTAGTTTGCAGTGTGATCTGAAGCAAAGTTAAACCTTTCTAAATGCATTGACTTCTATGGACTTCTAAGAGTGTAACACTGCTTAGGATAGAGCAAGAGTCCAGTAGCACCTTAAAGACTAACACAATTTGTGGCAGGGGCTGAGCTCACTCCTTCCGCTTAGAATGACACTGTTGGCCATCCATGTGTGTTCTATGTTTCCCTTAAACAAGCAGCTGTCGAAATGAATCTGAAAACTCAATGTACAGACTATTAGTAGAAATAAAAGCTATTTTTAACACATGAGAAGTCTAGTTCACACACTGATGTATGTCAGTTGCACACAATTGAATGGTAGCTGGATGTGTGACCCTGCTCCATTGAAAACCATTGTACATAAGGCTCGTTCACACATGCAAGTCACCAGAGTATGCTACAGCCACCTAGTGACTGAACATACAAACCAGCCCAGCAAGGATTTGCTTCAAACCACTCGGATACCCTCTTTTGGTTTTATGAAATTTTAAGGCAACTTCTATATCAGCCAAGCTCATTAAAAAGCAGAAGAATCAATCACATGTATCTTACATATGACTGCCTGCAGAATGTGCTTATGGTATGACTAATGGATATGTATAGAATGAAAGGTAGACCAATCCTGATAGTGTGAATGCAGAACCTATGAATAAGTCTCACTGCTTCAAACAGAATTTCCTTCCAAAACTATACTTAGAACCTCCATTGTGCTGTGGTGTCAGGACCCACAGCAAAACAACGAAGTACACGCTTCCAAGAAGGTTTTACTTTTATTGAAAAGCCATAGATGCAGTAACATGAACACTGTTAGGAATGGCGGGCCACCTATGCGCATAATAGGATATAGGGCATTCGTATGTGCCCCCCTCCCAGCAACACCCAATTAGATGGGCTCCCGTGCACGGGATTCAAGAAAGTTTCTAACGGTAGCAAAAGCTGGGAACCAGAACAATCCCACGGAAGGTAGACACCACACTCCTCCAGTACCTCTTTACAGATAAGCGTTGCAGCTGGTAAACAATTAAGCACATGGAAAGGAATACAAAACAATTAGAACGCCTCTCCCTACTCATGGCAGCTTAGCTGACATGTGGTTACAGAGATCCAGCATTTATGACTGAGTATATCCCAGCAAGTATCATCAAATTTCTGTGCCTTCCCAAATGGGAGGGGCTGTGACAGGAACAGACCATGATTCAATGACAGAACATCTGCTTTGAATGCAGAAGATCCCAGGTTCAATCCTTGGCATCTCCAGTTGACAAGGAAGAGGCAGTAGGTTGCTGGAGGGTTGCCACTGGAGGGCTGCTGCAGTTTAGAGTAGACAAAACTGATCTTGGTAGACCAACGGTCTTAATCAGTATAAGGCAACTTTATATGTTTAAACCAATGAAGTAGGTACTGATTTGCACCAGAAGGTGGCCATTTGTTAAGAGAACCTGCAGGGAATGTTACATCCACAATTGTCAAGGTCACAGTCAAGTGTGATATTGTTGGGCATTATGACACATCCCAGGGCATTATTTAGCAAATAACCTGCCCTAAATCCCAAATTTTCAGTCCCAGGGCAAAAAGAAAAGTGGGGGGGGGGGGGGGGGAGGCAAGCCAGAGCTAGAGTTGAGGAAGGTTTTTTGCTTTGTTTTGACCAAAGACACTTGTGCACTGTCCTCAGACCTTGGCTGGAAAGGTGGCTGCACAGGTATTAGGCATCCTCAATCAGATTAGAGAGACACAAAGGATTTAAGTGCATTAAGAGAGATAAGCAAGAGAGAGAGAGAGAGAAGGAGATTTACCCTCCATCCCTCTTTTCCTTGCTGAGTGGATAGGACTGTTCGTCCAAGGACTTTAGCTTGTTAATTTCAAGTGAGACTCTGTTCTCTTCTTCCCCCCCCCCTCGAATCCTGTATGACACTCCTTGAAGCAAGCACTTTCAATAAGGTCACAGTTGTTGTTTCATGAAGCACTGCCATCATCAGTGCCTGAGTTAAAGAGACAATGTGCAGACGGACCCACCTGAAGAACATCCCACCCAACTGTGCAGTCGCTAATTTTAGAGCAATCACTAGGTGCTATAGAAACACCTCTCGTCATTTGCTATTTATATGCTTAATGACAGGATTTAAAAGAGACATCAAGGCATGATCTCTGTCCAAAAGAGTTTACAATCCAAGTACAAATGGCCAGATGTAGGATAAGGAACAACACAAAATACATCCAGAGAGCTGAGCAGTGACCTTCAGCTGACTCCTGGATTATTTCTTAAAGTGTTTCTTAAATATTGAATTCCCCCCCCCTTTTGTAAAAGAATCATAAGAGAGAATAGGGAACATGTGTTTATAGTATAAGTTTTTAAGAAAAAGTGCTCCAGAAGACAGTGTTACTTGAAACAGCAAGAATCCTGTGAAGATACATCTGCAGTTCCCAAGAACCTGGCTAGATCTCGAATCACAGAACACCATCTACTAGTCAAATATCTGACTGTGACAATTCATGATGATGATGATGATGATGATGTGCAAACAAAAACTTTGTTTTAATTTCTAAAGTTCTTTTAGAAACAGACTAACAAACACAAATCTGTAGATTAACCTCTGAAGGCATTAGGCATTTAGCACTGTCTCTGTACTTTCTATTAAAACATTAATTTCTGTATCTATACACAAAATATATACATATTCACACACACATCAATTTGTGAGAGTGTTTATAGAAATCTATTTCCATTACAAACCATCATCTTGGTTAACAAC